TTTGAAAGGAAGAATGTTGAGGGTTGAGATTGGTTCCAGGGTACCGTGAAAATAGGCGCTTTTAGATAGCAGCCAACAGGAACTAAAAACCATTCATTTGCTCACTTAAATGAAAAAGGCCGTCATTTTCATACAAGTCGAACAAGTGAATGACTTTTACGCCCTGTCGTCTGCTATCTGAAATCGCCACTCTTGTGTATTGGGAATAAAAAATATTGTAAGTAACTTGGGAATAAAGGCAGCCAATTTGTTTACGATGATTTTTGTGACACTCGTTTCGGTCTCGAGGCGCCCTTTTTCAAAAAAATTGTTAAATATGATGGATTTTTGACATTTCATACAGAAACTTAAATAACATATTTTACAGTTTATTATAAATAATGCCTGTCAATGTAACCTTTTTTCTTTTTATTCTCAATTTAAGACATCTTTTTTGCATAAAATGTAATTTTTTTTACAAATCATCATGCATTTCGTCAAATAAAATGGTTTGACCAAGTACAAGGCGAAGCCGAGTACTGTAAACAAGAGAGGACGAGACATGCATGCGTCCGAGGTACATATGACATTTTATGGAAAACGGGAATGTAATGCCTGGTTACTCGGTGTGTTTTTGAGGCGCAAAGCATGACTTTGCTTCAGGCAACAGATTTCTCGGCCTAGGACGGTAAAGCTGCTGTCTGAAGTGAAGGCATACTTTGCGTCTCGAAAACATGCCGAGAAACCGGGGATTACATGCTCGTTTTGCATAAAAGATTAAACAGCCGACGAAATAATTCTTTTTTCACAATTATTGTCATCCCGGGTCATCATAAAAACAGCATTAGTTTTACGAACTTTTTATCATTTGGGCAACGAACATAATTGTCAACTGCAAGCTAATTTAAATTGTATTCAACGCTGAATAATTTTCAAATATATCATCTGGGCCACTCACTGCCATCAAACTGGTATTAGCGCTTGTGGTCCGAGGGAAGAATCGGTTCTAGAATCCAGCTCCTCAATTCTTACCGCATCTCTAAAGTGAATATTATCTGTGATTTTTACTTCTTTTGGGATAAGCAATTCAAAATTTTGTACGTTTAAATATGTGTCTTTAATCCTTTCGTAAAAACGAGGTGCGTAAGATCGACTAACTTCAAGTGTAGAACTTTTTCTTGATTGGCTCTTTTTCAAAATCCTTTACTTTGATTGGATATAATCGTGACATTACTTACTGATGTCAAAGCAGCTAACTTCAAGTGTAGAACTTTTTCCTCATTGGCTGATTTTATAATGAGTGTTCCTCATTGGCTGAATTTTATAATGATGGTGACCTCACACTTTTATATTTTCGTTTTTCTTTTTTAAAATTAAAAAAGTAATTAATTAAAATTATTAACTAAAAGTTAACTTAAAGTAGTTTAATATAATAATTTTTATTTATGGTTTGGTTTGTTATAAATTAATAGTTTAATATTAAAATATATTAAATTTTATGATTCATTTTAGACGCTTCAAAATTGTTGCGCGCGCATCTTTTTTCCAAACAAAAATTGTTTGTTCGCTACAGCCATGTAACCTCACCTCAGTGTGAAACGCAAAGTTTTTGGTACGAAAAATTACAAAATGTTACAAGTGTTAGCAACTGTCAGCCATTTGCAAAGTGTGACACGTGTATCGTTTCGATAAGAAGTATTGACTGGTTTTTGCCGAATGATTTTTTTTCTGAAAGTGTTGATTGTGAATTTTGTGGTTTTGTTTTTTGTACATTGAAAAAAGTTAAAGTACATTACATACGTTACGTACGTAAGTATTAAAATACATGTAAATACAAATTAAATTTTTTGTTAATATTATTTGTATATTAATTAGGAGGAGTTTTAAAATATAATGTGAATTATTTGATTTATTAATTTAAAGGATTTAATTAATTTAATTAAAGTTAAAGACATTAATTTAATTAAAGTTTAAAGGAATAAAGGACATTTGCCTGTTATTTTGATTTCTGAATGTAGAATATTGATTGATTTTTTTAAATTCTGATGTTTGTACATTACATAATTATATTATAGTGGTAATAATTGTGATTTAATATTGATTTATATTTGTTTTCTTAATCTTAATTATTGATTTTTCAACATTTTGGTAGTTAGTTATTATTATTTGGAAAAGCTTTATAAATATTAAAGATAAGTACTAAAAATAACATGTGATTACGAGATACCAGATACTTGATAAACAGAGATTTAGTCAAGAGGTACTAGATTAACAGGTACTAGATTAACAGATACTAAACAGATACAAAACAGAAAAGCTTACAAAAAATACGCATATATTTATTGTTGATAAAATATATAAAAATTAAAGATAAGTGCTATTGATAACATGTGATTTCGAGATACCAGATACTTGGTAAACAGAGATTTAGCCAAGAGCTACTAGATTAACAGATACTAGAATAAAAGATAAAAAAATAAGAAATATGAACAGAAACAAAACAGAAAAACTTACCAAAAATATACTTATATTTATTGTTGAGAAAGTATAAATAAATACATAACAAATTTAGATGAAAAGATGAATAGACACCTTCTTTACATTCTTGAGATAAGACGAAATTAGATTAATAGATAAAAATACATTCTTTACATTCTTAATAATCTTCAATAAGAAAGGAAAAGATAAAAATTCCAGTTACTGTTAAATGTGACAATAGTAACATTATTTACATGTGTTCTGAATTAATTAATTTTATAAAAAACTATTTTTTAGAAGCGATATCTTTTCAATAAATTGAAAGAAATCATGTCGAACAAAGAAGAAACTGTTAATTTAAGTGTTACAGATTTTAATATTATACTTACTGAAGGAGGAATGTTAAATGATACTCATATTGATGAATTCGAAAAATTATTGAGAAGAGAATCAAATTCTGCTTTTAGCATGCAAACACTTTGTATTTATATACGCATGAATTTATTAGTTCGATTGAAAAAGGTAAAAAGCATATTCAAATACTTTTTAGTGGACCTATCAAGAAAGGTCATTGGATTTGCACTTATTATGATGGAATGAGACTTTATATTTATGATAGTCTTAATAAAGCATGTTTAAATAAAGATCAAAGGAAATATTTAAGTAGATTATATCCTTTTAAACTTCCAGTAGTTTTCACAACTGTTGATCAACAACCAAACAATAGTCTTGCTTGTCGAATATATGCAATAGCATTCGCAACATCGATATTTTTTAATATTATGCCCCACTCTGTCAATTACTATTATTATAATATGAGAAATCATTTAATGTTAATGTTCTTTATGTAAAATGAAATCTATGACATCTGAATTTTATGTCAAATGAAAATTATGTTAAATGGGATTTACACCAAATGAAATTTATGTCAAGTAAATTTTATGTCAAATGAGAATTATGTTAAATGGAATTTATGCTAAATGAAATTTATATAAATTTAATTTTACGTTAAATAATAATTATGTTAAATGACATTCACGTCAAATGAAATTTATGTCAAGCTAATTTTATGTCTAATGATACCCAGTAAACAAAAACTAATTGAAATAAATTAAAAAGAATTCACAAAGAGTTTCAGTGAATCCCGCTTTGTGACAAATACGAATTGGAGCTATGCTGCAATTGTCTTGAATTCGTCAAACTGCATTAAACTTCCAAACCTTCTATTCATACTAATTTAATGGACAAGTTTTGGGGCCTTTGATTTTTTTCAATTCGTCAGCACGAATTCAATGCATGCCTTGGTCATTTCTTACGAATGCGAATTCGTTTGCACAACTTTAGGCAAATTGAATCGAATTCAATCGAATATACAAAGAGCATGAATGAATCCCGCTTTCTACCAAAATCTTAATTCATTTCAATCCGTTTGAATTAGTTTTTTTACTGGGTTTTTATGTCAAATGAGAATTACGTTAAATGACATTTATGCCAAATGAAATTGATGTCAAATGAATTTTATAACAAATAAAATTTACATTAAATGAGTTTTATGTCAATAGAAATTTATGTTACATAATTTTTATGTCAAATGGGAATTAAGTTATCTGAGTTTTATGTAACATAATATTTCTGTTTAATGAATTCTATGACAAATGATATTTATGTTAAATGGTTTTTGTGTGCAATGAAATTTATGTCAAATAATGTGCATATTATGTGAATTTTAAGTTAAGTAGTTTTATATCAAATAACTATTTGGTTAAAAAAGATTTCGGGAATAAGCATGCGTCTCAAAGAAACGATACTCCTTCATTTGGACAGTTATTTATTGTTGATCAAAACGAAGCTTCCGAAATTCGTTGTAAGAATAATGTTCAATTAAACCGAGATATTGTTGATGGAATAGATACAGCCCTTCGGGATTGTAACCTATTTGCACAGTCCTACCGTATAATGCATGAAGAAATTAAAAAAACAATGACTGAAAGTAATGCAGAAATTGAGCCTTAGATGCAATTATTATTTTTATTAAAGCCTAAGATGGATAGTAGACGTTATAATTTACAAAGTGTGAATGAAGTTGCAGCAATTTTTACTAAAACTGCTGATGGTGATCTTGATTATCATTCTCATAAACATTTCTTTTTCAATTTTTCTTTAAAACATTTATTATATTTGCGCCATTATTCTCATTGTAAGTACTTTTGTTTAAAAAAATTAAAATATTAAAAAAAGGAATGTGCAAGAGAAAAAACGCGCGCGCTGGAGCGCGCGATCGTTCTCGTTACTATAAATTCTGGAAGCTTAGAAGTTTTAATAAGTTGAATGTATTCATGGTCAGTTTCTATGGTTTCTGATATTATTTTCTCATTATTTTCTTTTTCCCATAAAGGTCGTAAACATCACTTCAAAGTATTCGAAATCAGTAATTCAAGGTGTAATTAAAAAATTCGAAATAAGTTAATAGTCCAGTCAAATTAGTCGAAAAAGAAGGTGAAGCGATCTTGTTCCTCCTGGCCATCATGCATCTGAGGTTGCCGGCTGTCAGGGATGTCCGGGGATGGGGTCTGGTGTCGAGGTTACTTTGTCTCATGATTTTTGGAGCCTATCAGGGTTCTCGGTTCGGCACACTTCACTAAGTGTGAAGGAAAAGTGTGGGAAATCGGCGTCGTTTCGCGGAAGCGTGGATCAAATTTTAATTGATCGTCGCCCTGCGAACCGAACGTTTGAATCCGTGCCACATTATCAAGTGCCGGCCGAGGACGCTGATGGTAAGCTACATAAAGAGTTTATTCGTGAAGTTTTAATTTCTATGATTTGTTTTGTACATGTTTTTTTTATTATTGTAAATTAGTGTGGCGAACAAAGTGGGCGGATTTTTGTATTTCACATTTACACGAGTTTTATCACCACATTCGACCCAGACGAAGGCTCTGCAATCCGGTGATCCGGGCTGGGGAATAATCTTGTTGGCCAGTATCTCAAGGATTTCCACTTGTCGGGAGTTTGACTATAAGGACAATCCGGATGCATGAGGTGGCTGGGAGCAATGAAAAATTAATCAAAGGAGAAAATTCCGCTAAGTATTTATATCTCATTAGTGTGTGTGTGTAATTGAAAGTCTCGTTGACACGTCGGTTCAAAGGGCGTTTTTAAATTATAATCACGATCAATTCAAAATTTTATTGTTTCCAAAATATATTTCTTGTGAATCTTTTAGTTATGTGTATTAATTTTGTATTTCTATTTATATATCTACTCTTGACTGGATTTTATTATAAATCATTTAAATTTTATTTGACTAATTTATCAATTTGATAACGTTTAGATTGTTTAATTAAATATTTACCGCGTTATGTAAAACAAAAAAGAAAAGAAATTTGAAAAATAATAATTCGTGTGAAAAATATATATATAAAATTAATAGTTTGTTACAAAGGCATATCAGGTTTTATCTCAGGACCGCAATTTTTTTTGCTTAAACCCTTCATTTTGGGGTCAAAAAAAGGGCCTAAATTTGGTTCTTCGAACTCCGTCGGGAAAGCAAAAAATTTTTGCAAAATAGGTGAAAAAAAAACAGTTTTTTGGAAATTACCGCTTTCCACTACATATAAGGGTAAAATAATTATTTTAAAAAATAAAGTGTATAAAATTCTGAGCAATTTACTAAAAAAGTGAACCTTGTAGCTCAAAAATTGACCGAAATATGCCCTCCGCAAGAAACACGTTTTTTACGTGATTTTAGCCAAAATTCGCTATTTTTCAGTATTTTCAGAATGACTTCTAAAATTTAATAGTTTTCAAGATACAGTCTAACAAAGTTAACCCTTTTTGAGGTTAAATTGCAAAAACTGTGTTTTTCGCAAATAATTTTAAGTTTTTGTTATGTTTTAAATCTATACATACACAAACGTTATCAAACATGAATAAACTATGTGTGGATGAACTGTAAAATAAACAAAACACTTCAAAATACATGACCGTTTAGTAGTAAAATTCAGTACTTTTTTAATTTTTCGTAATTGAGTTTATTTACATGTTTTTCATGAACATAATAATCGTTTGATAACGTTTGTGAATGCCTAGATTTAAAACATAACAAAAACTTTAAAGTTATTTGCGAAAAACACAGTTTTTGCAATATAACCTCAAAAAGGGTCAACTTTGATAGACTGTATCTTGAAAACTATTTAAGCTATTTTATTGTTCTTTATCGCAAATTGTCAGGAATTTAGTCATCTTTAAGTCATCTGTTGGTCATTTTTTAAAAAGTCAATATTTTAGAAGTCATTCTGAAAAAACTGAAAAAAAGCTAATTTTGGCTAAAATCAAGTCAATATTTTAGAAGTCATTCTGAAAAAACTGAAAAATAGCTAATTTTGGCTAAAAAATCACAAAAACGGGTTTCTTGAGAAGGGCATATCTCGGTCAATTTTTGAGCTACAAGGTTCACTTTTTTTGTAAATTGCTCAGAATTTTATACACTATATTTTTTATAATAACTATTTTTCCCTTAAATAAAGTGGAAAGCGGTAATTTTCAAAAAACTGATTTTTTGCACCTATTTTGCAAAAACTTTTTGCTTTCCCGACGGAGTTCGAAGAACCAAATTTAGGCCCTTTATTTTGACCCCGCAATGAAGGGTTTAAGCAAAAAAAATTGCGGTCCTGAGATAAAAACTCTAAAAGTACTAATTTGACTGGACTATAATTCTTTGATTGGAACTTTGGAGTCACTAGTTTACTTTATTTAATACCCTGAAAACAGCAAATATAATTTAGACAATGTTAAGTCTGTTTGGTCGAAATAAATTTTATCTGATTTTTCATAAATGTAATAAGATTTCGAGTGGGGTATTAATGAGCAATAATTTTCAATTATTTCTTGCAATGAATCTCTAAGCAAACAATTTCGATTCTGATGTTTACCACGATTGTCGTCAAGTGTTTAATTATTTTCCAATTTATTTTGAATAGTCATAATTCTCGATTTACTTATGTTTAGTAAAGACAGCAGAAATTTCCGACAAACAACAGTATCCACAGTTAAATAATGAAATCGATACTCCCATAAAATATTTTTGCCTTCATTCTTGTTTTCTTGATTTGCAGTTTTCATTGTCATTAGACCATTAAGCAAAATATTCTGTGATTTGTAGTCTCCGTGGGTCCAAAATGTGTTAACAATTTTTTCTTAAATAGAAATTTCAATTCCTGCAAAATATTTTTGTAAGCAACAATTTTCTACAGGTTTAAACTCCTTTGCATCGACTTTCTTTTTTGATTTGGATATGTATTCTTTTCCCTGGTTATAAAAATACGTATTAAATTTTAAAATAAATAAAATCAAGAATAATAAATATTCGAGCCCAGGATTATAGACATTTAATGGGATTAATAAAAAAAATTGTTTAAAATATGTGTTTTCGAAAAATTTGACAAATGGCACGAAGTTGAATGGGTTAGGATTCAAATTCGTACCATTTGTCAAGTTTTTCAAAAAATTGCCGATTTAAACAATTTTTTTTCAATTAATCCCATTAAATGTCCATAATATATTATACGAGAATAAAAATTAGAAAAGTTAAGCTTTATTTTTATATAATTTTGATAAAAATTGACGGGCGGGTGTTTTGAGATATTAAGAGTTTAACCTTTCAAACAGGAATTTCTCTATGAAATTTTGGTTAAACAGAATGTATATTTTATAATTATATTTTAACGTAATTAAATAATTTCAACAAATTTATGAAATATATCAAATTAAAGTTTAGAATATAACGTTTATTTTTTACTTATATTTGTTTAAAATATGATATGAAAAGTTATTGGAATTATTAATTAAAATAATATTATCAATGTGAGTAAAAATTCAATTCATCACCGAAGCCTCGTTTTCTATATAATATCATTATATTTTTTAACGTTATAAACATAATATGTAATCTATGTAAAAATATTTGATGATTAAAACTAAAAATATTGTTTAAAAAATTGTAATATTTTTAAAATTAGAAAAAACGAGAATTTTTTCATTAAATTTTCAATTCATCTCCGAAGCCTTTTTTATATTTGATAGGCGTTTTCTTTTGTTTTTAATTTTTTAATCATTGTTTTGAAATATTTAACCCTAAAATTAAATTATTTATTTAATAAAAATAAAATATACAAGCAAAAAATGCAATAAATTAAAACATAACAATTTATTATTTAAATAAATATTCCTATACCGATTTTTTTTACAAAATAATTAATTTAAAAATTGTAATTAATTATACTAAACCTCTAGAACACATGATAACAAAATGTTCCTGGAGGTCTTATTTCTGAAAATTAATTTTGCGCAACTTATATTTTTATCTTTAAACAACTTCTAAACTTATTTATAAAAAAAAGTAAAAAAAAGAATAATTTGATTTTTTGGAAATTCAACCAAAAAAGGGTTCCTTTCAAGAGAATCACCCATATTTTTGGTAGATATGTGCAAAAATATCGAAATGCCGATCCGAGCCAAGCCGAAATGAGTGACTTCAAGTACTCGGGTAAATACGAGGACTTGATTGAATTTGAGCACTAGAGTGAATTCGAGTACTCGAAACTATTCGAGCTTTTTACACAGCTCGGATCGGCTCAAAAAATGAAAAGCTCGAAAAAGTTCAATCAAGCTTCAAGCTTTTTGCACAACTCTAATTTATGGTCTTGATGATTAAAATTGTGAAGTTATTTTTAATTATACTAACTCTCTTAGCAGAAACATGATTTGCAGAAGCAGCTAAAATATTTTAAAAATATTATTATCAAGGTGTTGATAACAACGGATTTTTATAAAAGTTATAACATTTTACAAAATCAATAACAAATTTTTTAACACAGTAAGGGAGCGTTCACAAATGATGTCACGCAATTTTTCGGGATTTTAGACCCAACCCTCCCCCTGTCACGAAATTTCATGCAATTTCACATGCAAAAATACATTGTGTCACGTTTAGTAGAGACCCGCACTATCCTCAAAAACGTGACAGCATTAGTGAACGCCTCCTAAGCTGACTGACCCAAAAACTTAAAAAAAGCAGTTTCTGACGAAAATGGCTGGTTAACGAACTTGGCCTTCATTTTTGCATCAAGTTCAAGTGTGTTAAATTTAAAAACGATCGGATAAGTTTTTCAAGAGTTATCGTGGGAACAAAATTTTTGGTCTACAGACAGACAGACAGACAGACAGACAGACAGACAGACAGACAGACAGACAGACGAACAGACAGACACCATTGCCGGACCATGTTTTTTGGGTTCAGGGGACCCCAAAACGTCGAGATTTCATGAAATTAGCGAAAGTCAATTTTCGACCAAAACTAATACTTTCTCATGTGATGAGAATGTAATTACTGAAAAAAGGGGAATAGGGGAGAAAATATTTGAATTAAGGGGATTTATTTTTATTTAAGGGGAAAAAGGGAGAATAAGGGAAAAAGAGAACGAACTGTGCTCCCTGTAAATTGAGGAAACCGTGTAGGATCACCCTGTACGGTGATTTTAAGCTGGGTACAAATATACCTTGGAAGGAAATTTTCCATTATCAGAGAAATTAACGGTGTTGCGCAAATTCAAACAGTGGTGGCCTTTTAAGAATGATTGCTTGAACGTAAACGGAATTTCGAAAGGATATTTCTAATTTTTTAATAGTTATTGCAAAATAAGGAAAAATACCAGTTATCCTAAATTTTTGTTCATTAATTTACGCACAAGAAGTTGACAATTCAAAATTATACACGACGTCAACATAACATGTAACATGTGACGTCACGACGTCATTAGGTACTGCCCTCTGGCGGTAATTTTATGTGCCGTGCATTTCTTTAACTTTTCTCTATTTTTTACTTCCTGTCGTTGTTAATGTAAACAAATATTTTACTTCTTGTGCGCAAATATAAGATAAAATATTCAGAATACCTGGTATTTTTTTCGATTTTACAATAAATCACTAATTTGACTGTATATTAAAACTCTCGTATGATGGAGGTCTGTAGAGAGACAACTATTTACTTGACTTTGAGGTTATGTTCGGCTATATATATATATATATT